CTGCTGGGCGCCGCGTCTGCCTTTTCCCGCCGTAGGTTCCAGGGCCCGGGCTGTGCCCAGCTGCCCCCCACCCCACCCCCACCCCAAATCCAAAATTTCCAGAACCCTGAACGCCGGACTCCCAAGAACTCCCACCAGGCAGCCAACACCTTGCCTCGTTGGGGCGCGGCTCCCGCGCGTGGTTCCTGGGGAGCTGGACTGGGACGGGACCTGGGGAGACCCGGCCGGCACTGAGAGCACTGGTTTGGCATCTGGACTTTCCCACACGGACCATCCGGCTGGCGTTTACCACTTTGAAACACACCAAGGTTTTAGTGTGTGGTTCATGGGGTTGCCAATTTAGTCAATAAACGCAGCGGTTGCCCAGTTAAACTTGAATTTCAGACAGACGGTAAGCTTTTCGTGTAAAAATTGCATGGGATACCTGGGCACTGAAAAACTGTTTACCTGCGATTTAGATTTAACTTTGGTTTCCTGGGTTCTGTCTTTCAAAAAGATGGGAAATAAGTGTTGGTGAGGACTTGGAGTAAAGGATGACCACCGATGGTGGGAATGCAAGTTGGTGCAGCCGCTGTGAAAAACAGTATGGGGGTTCCTGGAAAACTTAGTTATAGAACTACCACGGGGTCCAGCAATCCCACTTTTCTGACTGTTTGTGGGAAGGAAACAAAAGCACCGTTCTCTTGAGCCACAGTGAACAGCATCTCGGCCCCTCACGGTTGCATACCTGCAGGCTGCCTCGAAGACTTCCTTTGGACTTAGTAATTTCTCTCCCTCTCTCCCGCCCCTTTGCATCTGGCAGCATGAGACACTTTGTAGGCCCAGCACCTCAGCAATTTTCAGGGCAGAGATGTTACCCAGCCCCAGAGAGAGTGCTCATCTGGGGGCACCCAAACTTTATGAGTGAATTTTTGGGGGTCTCTGTCTTTATTTCCTTGGTGGAGGGAAAGCACCCTCCTCCCCATCCAAGTTGGGGACCATATATAATCACCAAGGTATCTGACCCTGTGGGAATGTGCCTACAACGTACCCTGGAGCAGAACTGGTGAAGAGAGAGCTCCCAGGTATAGTCAGCAGAGCCCGGGATCCAAGGGCTAGTGGGCTCTTCACCATTCCTGTCTGCCTTTGCCTGTGCGCTTTGAGGATAATTCCACTTTGACAATTCTGTTATACTTAGCTGTTCAAATTTATGCTCCTTTCCCTCATCCCTTGCCAGCCTGATTGTTAGTTAATATAGAGCACGAACCTGACTTTATCCATGTTTGTTTACCTATCACATAGCACAGTGAGTGGCACATGATACATATTCAGTGGAAGAAAGAATTGAATATCTCAGCATGCTTCTCCTTACTGGAGGTGTTTAGTGAATGAAATAAGGTGGAAAAGTTAGGGCATGGCCATATTGTATAGGACATTGAATACTAAGGCAAGTCCGTTGGACTTTACTCAGCCAACATTTAGGGAACCTTTTAAAGTCCTTGAGCAGAGTTTCCAGAAGATTAATTGTGGATTGGAGGTGAGAGACCAGTTAAGAGGCAATTATAATAATAGTGCAGTGAGAGGCATTAAAGACCTGAACTATATAGTAAAGTCAATGATGAGAAAGATGAAACTATTAAAGGTCTATTAACAGTGCTTCTCAAATTTTAACACACATCCCAGTCTCCTGTGAATCTTATTAAAACGCAGATCCTGACTCAGTAGGTTCCCGGTGAGGCCTGAGATACTGCATTTTTAACACGCTTACAGCTGGTGTCATAGACCTGTGCTGTCTAGTATGGTGGCTCCTCCTCGGGTGGCTACTGAGCACTTGAAGTATAGTGTGTGCAACCAAGGAACTGAATTTTAATCTATTTTAAGTTTATCTAAATTTACATTTAAAAATGAAAGCAGTGCAAACTAGTTCTCCATTAAGCAAAATGTTATTGTTTTGATAGGAATACGTCTTGCTACATTTTACTATAACTGTTAATTTAGCATCTGAATTAAGATGTTCTATAAGTGTAAAATACACACAGGATTTAAAATACTTAGCACATGCCCTGGCCGGTGTGGCTTGTTTGTTGGTTGAGCATCTTTCCATGCACCCAGAGGTCCCTGTTCCATTCCTGGTCAGGACACATGCCCGGGTTGTGGGCTCGATCCCCAGTAGGGGGTGTGCAGGGGGCACCTGATCAATGTTTCTCTCTTTCATAGATGTTTTTCTCTCTCCCTCTCCCTTACTATTGCTCTAAAATCAATTAAAAACATATAAAAATAATTTTAAAAAATAGAGACCACATTCTTAATTTAAAAATAAAGATAAAATTCTTAGTACAAAAAAAGAATGTAAACTGTTTCATTAATTACTTTTTATGTTGATTACATATTGGAAAAATATTTTAGATATATTGTATTAAGTTAAATATATTATTAATTACTCTCACTTGTTTCTTTTTACCTTTTTAAATGTGGCTTGTAGAAAATGTATACTTACAAATTTGGCTTGCATTTTATTTCTACTGGTCCCTTGCTGTGAGAAGCAAAGGTCCATGGTTCTCAGGACCTCACCTTGTTTATGGGTGGAAGTCACATTGGCCCATTGTGCAGGTGGACTAGTGTTTGTTTTCACAATTTCATCACAACTGACTCAAAACATCAAAGTGTCATTTATTTCGAACTCTGCTATATAGTTTATAACACTTCATCCTCACAAAATACCTGTGTGAATATGCAAGTAATAGAAATAATTTAAATAGAATATTGATGAGTTGAATTATTGAGTAAGAATGTCTAAGAAGCAGATCTAAGACTAGAGATTATGTCCTTTAACATTTCTGTATGGTTGTTTCTGCAAATACTACTTCCTCTAGAGAAAACACTTTCTTTTCATGTTTACCAAAGTGATTCCTCGGGGGCTGACTTACATTGGCCCAGATACATTGCATCACCCTAGATATATCAGCTCCAAACACGTGATACATTTTGCAAAGAGAGTGTTACCCTGGGAACCACGGTAACGTAAGGTTATACTGGTTAAAATACATCCCCATTTAAGTTTGTGAGTATCCCCAACTAGTATCTACTATGTGGATATTCAGGATTTATCTGGAGTGGTTGCAGTTCTTTTGATGAAGCATAGTTCTGTTTTAGAATCTCTTAAATCAGCTCCTGTGCTGGCAAGTCCATTCATTCAATAATGCACCCTGCTGGATTTCAAAGACTGAACCCTCTGCCCAAGGCTAAGGCTAGTGAGCCAAGGCAGGGATGAAGTAAACATCCCCAGGTAAGACTGGACACTATTCTATCACTATGTTGTCTTGCCCCTTTTATAAGTGCATTGCAAGACTTTTGCTCTCAAATCTATAATATCAGCCCTGATCGCTCTCTTGAACTTCAAAGTCATATAGCCAAATGTTTGCCTTGTATTTGGAAACCTCATAAGCATCACAGTTGCTTTTATGTTATTAAATATTTTTCATAGCTGCATAGTATTCCATTGATAAATGAATAAAGAATAGTCCATCAGTAAACAATATTTATTAGACATTTGCCAAAGCAGTTTTGATGTGCTTTGCCACGTGATTTGCATGCATTATCAAATTGCATCTTTACAACAACTCTGAGGCAGGGGGTCTGGTATATGAAGAAACAAAGGCCCATAAAAATTATACCTCTTGCCCAAGCCACACAAACAGTCGGTGGCAAAACCGAGATTCAGTTATACGTGATTTAACGCCAGAGCCACCAGATCTGTAACCCATTTAGCACATTTCCATTGTTAGATACTTAGGTTGTTTCTGATTTTCTTGAAATGATAAATAATGCTGCCTATGTTGAGCGTCCTTAGAGCCAAATCTGTACATATTTCTGGTCATTTTCTTTAGATAATTTCTTAGAAGTGAATTTTCTGGCTCAATTGGTTCTTCCCTCTCATTACAAATCTGATAATGCACCTTCCAGATATTACTATGTTTAACATTTCATTCTTTTTTCCAGTCTTTTATGAACATATAAACACAATATGTATATAGCACTATGTATACTACACACATTTGGTGCTAGATATATAGCTACATTGAAGCATATATTTTACATTTTTGTTTTACATTATGAAAATTGTATGATACCATTACTACATATATAAACAAATACATATGTTTTCTTTGCAGATAACCAGTTAATTAATTGTAGAAACCATATTGTGGAGTTTAAAGAAAATATTCTAAGTTTAAAAAACAAAATTGAAAGAAATCGCCAAGAGCTGAGAGATGCCTTGAGTAAAATGAAGGATGACTTTAGAAGGAGAGGCAATGCACCTGTAAAACTAGGTTTGTGTTGCTTTTGTTTTGTGGTGGTTTGTTTCATGTTTTGTGTTTGGGAATTTAGATTTTATGCGTTCTGATTTTAGGACATTTCTCCCCAATAAATATAATTAAGTCAGTACTCGTTCTTTTATTGTCAGACATGGAAAAACATCATGGTAAGAGACACCACTGATCCACTGCCTCTCGTCTTTACCTGGAAGATGGTTTTTCTGTGTTTCTAATCTCTGTGAAGTGTACCACCATCCGCGATGCATGCAGCAGACGCACCCAGAAACCTGCGCATCATCTCTGACTCCTTGCTTTTCCTCCCAGATTCATACTTCCATGTCAGTCAGTGAGCAGTCCCATTGATGCATAACCCTATATACCTCACCAGTCTGTCCCTATCTTCCCGTCACCATCTCTACTGCCCAGGTCAGGCCACCTTCATGCTTCATCTGAATGACTGCTCACATGCTCCTATTTTTCTCTCTCTCTCCAGTCATGTCCCCACCTGCCTAGCCTCACTGTAGGAAAAGCGAAGACTGTCCCATCTCATATATCAGCCTTCAGTGGTTCCCCTTTATTTCAGGATGAAAAGCCCTGCGGTGTGCTTCTCCCTTTGTAGTTTTCCGTTTTCCCAGATGCTGCACAAATGGAATCACACGCTGTGTAACCCTTTGAGACTGGCCTCTTTCACTGAGTGTAGATTCATCCAAGCGTCGTGTGACCAGTCGTTTGCTGCTTTTTTATCGCTGAGCAGCATTCCGTTGTATGGGTGTGTGATGGACAGTTCATCTCACCAGCTGAGGGACGTTTGGGTTGGTTTTTTGTGTCCAGGTTTTTTGTTTGAATTTTTATTTCTTTAGGATAAATACCTAGAATTAATGGGCATAGGGTCAGTATATGTTTAACTTTGTAAGAATCTGCCAACCTGTTTTCCGGAGCGGCTGTGCCGCTTTGCATTCCTTGCAGCAATTGTGGGAGAGTTCCAGTCCCTCCCGTTTATTACGGCCATTCTGATGTCACGGTGTCTCACAGGTTTACATTGCTCTTCTCTAGTGTGATGATGGCGAACATTTTTATGTGCGTATTTTCCATCCATATATCTTCTTTGTAAAATGTCTGATCAAATTTTTTGCACATTTAAAGAAAAATTGGGTGGTTTGTTTTCTTTTTGTAGAGTTTTGAGAGTTTTTCATATATCCTGGATACATATCGGATGGATATATGATTTAGAAATACTTTCTCCCAGTCTGTGGCTTGCCTTTTCACCTCCTAATGGTGTCCTTCAGAAAGCAAATATTTTAATTTTGATGAAGTCCAATTTATTAAATTTTTAAATATATTATGCATTTGATGTTGTATCTAAGAACTCCTGAAGAGTCACGAGAATTTTCTTTCATGTGTGTTTTTATTTTCTTTCATGTGTGTTTTTACATTTTAGGTCTATGAAACCTTTGAGTTGATTTTTATAAATGGTGTGAAGTATAGGTTAAGGCTCAGTCTTTTTTCTGTGGATGTCCAAGTGTTCTTGCACCATTTGTCAAAAAGGCTGTCCTTTCCGCATTGAATTGCCTTTGCACCATTTAAAAAAAAATCAATCTACCGTATTTGTGTGGATCTATTTTTAGACTTTTCTAGTCTGTTCCATTTGTCTATGTATCTATTTTTTTCTATAATACCACACTGCCTTGATGAACATATTATGTATTATGAATTTAAATTAGGTACGGTGAGTCCTCCAATTTTGTTCATTTTCAAAATTGTAGAGGTAAATTTAAATGAATGGTATGAATGGAGTCATAAATATTGAGGGGGTTACAAAATAAATGATAAGGATACAAACTTTAATGATATGATTTAATCAAAGTAGCAAAACATTGGGATATGTGATTTGGAAATATTTTCAGTTATATTTCTTTATAGTATGTTTCAGTTATAATTCCTTCATTGGGAATTGACAGTTCTATTAGCCTCTGGTTGTGTAGCTCATAGTGCTGGATTTAAATTAAATACCGGAAGCCCTCACTTAACGTCACCTGTAGGTTCTAGGACTTCAAGGTAAATGATGCCTAAGGAAACCAATTTTACCATATGCTAATTGATATAAGCAAGAGTGAAGCCCAGCCGGGTGTGGCTCAGCAGCTGATTGTCAACCTAGGATCCAAGAGATCGGGGTTCAGTCCCCAGTCAGGGCACATGCCCGGGTTGCAGGCTCCATCCCCAGTCGGGGGGCGTGCAGGAGGCAGCCGATCAGTGACTCTCTCATCATTGATGTTTCTTTCTCTCTTTCCCTCTCCCTTCCTCTCTCTGAAATCAATGAAGATATAATAAATAAATAAACAAACAAGAGTTAAGTTCCTATGGCATCGCAAAAAAGTTAACGAAAGGACATGAACATGACGTTATTGGAGGACCTGCTGTGTTACTTTTTAAATAAATATGAATCAATTTTTGAGTTATATTTTGTAGATTTATGATAATTTAAATTTATTAGTATTTTGCATGTGAATACTAATTTAATCTGTGAATTAATTTATTAACCCTCTTTTTAAAAAACTGTACCAGAGAGAGAAAGACCTCTATAGTCATGAGCTCAGAAGCCCTATTTTCTCTCTCTCAGTTGAGAAGAAAGCGAGTACACTGGATCAGAATGAAACAGTGCCTAATACATTCGAAGTCTTAAAGTTCTTTTTCCCTCATCTAAGGAAAGTAGGCAGAATTTATCCTGATGTGATCATTGGCAAAGAGAAAACAGGCGGTAAGAAAATTAGAATTGGAAAATCAAATACAGATATTTTGATCTTTGGGGACATGCTTTTAAGTTTTAAAATGTAATCCATTAAAATGATGCTCAGCTTTATATTTAAGTCACCAGCCCGTCTGGCACCAATTTGGATCACCAGAAATCAGTGTATTGTCTGGCAGAAAAAGTTGTTTAATAAATATTTGGTGACTTGAATTCAAATTCAGTTTTAATACCAATGCTTTGAAAATAAGTCAGTACAAGTCAAACATATGTTAATCATCTGCTCAGTACTTGGTAACTCTTTTTCTCCCTTGGTTTTGATAAAGCTATTCTCATCTGCTTATCTTCTTATTTCCCATCTTTATGGGGACCAACGTCTGCAAAAGCTTTATAGAAGTGACAACTGAGCTAAGCCTTGAGGGGTGAGTTCACGCTCACCAGGCACAGAAGAAGAGAAAAAGCATTTGAGTTAGAAGAGGGACGTTAGCCGACTCTCAGAAGCTTGCCTTTCTCACAAACCTCAATTATTCCAAGGAGTGAGTCCCTCTGGCCCAGGGGTCAGCAAACCATAGCCTCCAGGCTGAACCTGCCTGTTTCAGGTATGGTTTTGTTGGACCACAGCCGTGTTCATCTCTCACTCGCTGTCTGTGGCTGCCTTGGGCAGAGAATCCTGGTATCTATTTAGGATGACATGTCTGTTCTCCCAGTGCTTCTGTCATCACTGGGCAATAAAAGTCACTTAGGAACATGGAGTTATTCCATCAGATCATTTGGAAATTCATGCATTTTTTTACAAATGAAATTATTTCATAGTATTTTTCCTAATTGGGGTTCTAGTGTCTCCTTAGGAAGAAAAGTAGAGACGCAGCCAATGTGTTGTGTACCCAGTTGGATGACACTATAATTAATGGAGAGCGGTTCGTTTTCTTTCCCACTGCACTGCCACTGTCCACCATGGGAGCGCCTGGGATCCATTTAATGCTTTTCCTAACCACCTGCTGCAAATAGGTATTTCCCTAAGCAGAAAATGGAATATGATAAAAATCTAACAGTGGTTCGGATTACTTCTGTAATACGGTTTCCAGCACTATTTCTGTGACCGCACAACTAACCCAAACCTGGAAGTAAACATAGATATTAATACTAAATTGTATTTTTCTCCATGGTTTGAAATGGCGATTGCATGCTCGGGGGTCTGCAGTGTCTTTCGCGCTGGGCATTTCCACCGTGAAGAGACAGAACAATAGCTACCTGAAGCAGACGCTGACCTCGCTGCTGTCCAGGATGACCGTCTCCGAGGAGAAGGACTCTGTGGTGATCGTCTCCGTCGCCGATGTACGTACGAGGGACGCCTCGCCCTCCGGGCTCCCATGCTAATCACTGTGTCATTGCACATTTGTTTTCTTAAATTTAAAAAAGTAATTCACAGATGCCCTTTAGTGGATAGCAGACAATGTATTTAATACTTTTTTGACACTATCGAAAAGGAATTAAATATGCCAATCTATGTAATATTTTGAACAATAAAAAATGTTAATCTAAATATCATATTTCCATGTGGAGAAATAAGGTTGCATTGTTAAATATGTAACTAGGAGCCCTGCATACTATGTGGTATGGAAATTATATTTACAAACAGAACATTAAAATTGATGTTATAGTACTAAAACCTGCCCAGTAAAAGGTTGGTATACGAATCAAGAGATAATTTATATTACATAATAACTACTAATTGTGGGACTCCTTCCTATATTTGAAGGATTGTGGACAATTTTTATACACATTATTTATAACCTGCATTACATCTCTGTAAAGGAGGTAGTACTCTCCTGATTTTACAGATGAAGAAATGAGTTTAAGTAACTTGTCTAGTGATTAATAGAGCAGATTCATCTCTCTAATGGCCCCCAAGTTTTCTGTCTTGTGGTGCTATATAAAATGATAATGTACTGTCTAAATATTAGCACTAAATGCCTTTGGGAGGGGAATTTGGCGACATGCATAAAATTTAAAATGTATATATCTTTTGTCTCAGAAATCTCAATTCTTGGAAGTTATCCTAAGAAGGTAGTTGGGCAAGAATTTCAAAATGATAAAACTATGGCAAACTGGTATGGTAGTTGAGAACACAGGTTCTGGATCTAGATTGCCAGCGTTCAAATGCCGGCTGCTTTGCTTCCTGGCTGGTGAACTTGAACTAGTTACTTCTCTGTGCTTCACTTTTCTTACCGGTAAAATAGTGATGATAATATTACCTTAGTCACACACAGGGCTGTTTTGGCAATTACATTAGCTAATTTATTTAAAATCTTTAGAATGATGTGTGGAACATAGTTTAAGTGTTCAATAAGTAATTATTTCAAGGATTTTTAGTGATATAAAACCAAAATATTGGAAATAACCCAAATATCTCTAAGTGGCAGATTGAGTATTCATGTCTGCACTGCAGTGATCTGTAGCCATTGAAAGAATGAATATCATTCACTGACATAAAACAATGTCCAAATCATATTGTTGAGTGCAAAAAGTTATAAAGCATCCTGCTTAACATATTATTTGTGCAAATTATGATGGATGGATGGAAGGAAGGAAGGAAGGAAGGAAAGAAGGAAGGAAGGAAGGAAGGAAATACAATTCTATGAAATGCAAAAAGAAAAAGAGAATAAATCTTGGAATGATATAAATGATGGTTTACATTTAAAAATTAGTAGTCATATACAAAAACTATATATAAATAAATATAAGTTTATATTTACAAGTAATTATAAAATATTATAATAGTTATCTCTGGATGTTGGGAATTAAAGGGATCTTTGTTGTCCTCTGTTCTTTTCTCTTATTATTTAAGTTTTTTATGATAAATGTGTCTTTGAATGCAGAAAACTATAAACAAAACAAGCAACAGAAGAACTAATGGGAAAACATAAATAAAAGATTAAGCAACCCTTCTCCCCAAATTCAGTATCTTAGTATTGGAAGCATATACTTGATCTCTGAAATGTTTTGTCTCTTTTTTTGTGTTACATATTACAATCTTTGTTTATTTGCTGCTGACACAATGCACCTCTGCCTAAAATGTTTAGACCAGTAATAAAACATGGGGCAAATTTTAAAATGGACTATAGAATGCTTAAGAAGTGTAACTTCAGTGGTATGTTTAAAGTACAATATGCTTCAGCATGAAACAGATAGCTGGTGATTCCATTTATGGTTGTCATAAGAACCTTAAGTACTATAATAGAATTATTTGCATCATGACTGCTATTTTTAACAAACAACCTAACTGTATACATTCAGAATTGCTTTCCGGAGAACTCAGATTTGACACTAGAACTGTCATTATTCAAAATATTTTCAGAATTGTATATTGGGAATGCTTATGGGCCCCAAGGCTACATCTTATAAATGCCATTGGATATGTTAAAAAGTCCTCTGAGAAAGCACACCACCGAAAGCTGTTTACAAATGAGCCTGTCATCTGACCTAAGCCCAATGTTCAATTAAGAGTAGGTACACAAAGTTTGTTGATGGAAGAAAATTTGGGACTTAAGCTGAGTAATACTGTCTGGAAAAATGTGGAATGATTTTGAAATAAGCTTATTATCATATAATACTCATATAAAATGAAGATATCTTCAAAAACAGCAGCTCTTTGAAATAGGCCATCTGATTTTTAGGGCAAAACTGTCTAAGACACATAGCTTTTGTATACCACTAATTTTTAAGTGTAAATAGCATGTAGTGATATTTCATATTGTGAAAAGGGAGAATGAAATATTTTCCGGATTCAAGTCAGATCTTTTAGACACATGGATATTTTAAATTTATATAGAAAGTGAAAACATGAGAAATGATTAGGACATAATGACATGAACTAGATTTACATGTAGCAAGCCTGTATTAGTAAAAGTATGAGGCATACTTAGTTTCAGTAAAATATTTTTCTCATTGTTAGAGTAATGAAGATTATTTGAAATCTGTTGTTGACATGATTACAAAAACGTAAGTACTGTCGGATACGTTGTCAACGGGCTGTTCTGTACTTTTTCTCTCCTATTTTTTCTGCCAGTCGTTTTATTGTGATTTGTGTTCTTTCTAATGTGCACCTGGCAGAAAGAACCTATAGTTTCTTCTGAGCCATGGTGCAGTACAGTTTATAATTTCCTCCAATTGTGTAGGTTATCTAGCTATTGAAATCCGTATTTTTCAAATTATTGTTGAAAAATATCTATTCCCGATGGAATCCATTGTCCTTGTGAGAAGCCACTGGCTTATCTTTGAAACATTCTTGTGTTTTTTACCGTGTGAAGCTACTCTCGCTGCTTCCGCTTACAATCTGCTGTATGCAGCCCGGGAGATGCGAGCACTGCTGAGCCAGTGGGAAGCTATGTATCGAGCAGGGCGCTGCCGAGTGGGCCGCGCCTTCCAACCTCTGTGGTCCAGTGGGCAGTAAAACTGGCAAGAACCAAGTCACCAGGGCTTAGCGTTACTGTGGTGGGGGGCAGGGCAATATGAAAACATACAGAGTAGGGGGCATTTTACTTTACCTGCAGATGTCAAGAACCGCTTTCTTGAGAAGGTAACAACTGAGCGAGTCTAAGGGTGTAAGTAGATATTCTTCAGGCAGACAAAAGGGGGAAGGGAATGCTTGGCAAATAGATTGCCTGGGAAGGCAGAAAGGCCAAAAGGGGAGCATCTGGATTTTTGGAAATATAAGTAATTCCCGGAATGTGGGATTTGTGTATTTTAATTTTTCAATATGTCTGTTTCTAATTTATAAAAGAAATACTTTGGCTAAACAGTATTAGTTTTATGACATTGATATCATGTATCAACATGTGAAGTAATTCAAATTGAAATATTATGTGGACATGCATAAGGAAATTCTTTTTAAATATTTCATTTTATTTTGGTATATCAAATATTCAATTACAAGCCTCCATTTACTTCTATTTGTAGATTCAAAAGGCAAGTGAAGTCTGGATCCTTAGAGGTCATTTCAATACCTGCCTTTTTTTATCCAGACATATTACATGCCAAGCAATCAACTGAGGACTCAAAAAAACTGGATAGGTATGACATTTAGAAAATTGTATCCTTAAACAACTAACTTCATTTGATGAAGTGTTGGAATCAGCATCTAATAGATCCTATTTCAAATACAGCCAGCTCCTATTGACTTGCAAGAGCTGACTATGTGCATCATTTCCCAACTCTCTGTTCAGTGACATCAGTCAGTAACATGAAATCAGGAGAGCATTTACACCACAGAAATGGGCAAAAACTACAAATCAGAGCTCACTCCCTCTCCCACACAGAGAGACAGTTGTTAAACACCACCAGCACATCACTGACTCTATGTTCATGTTTACAGGCAGTCATTAGCAAAAGCATAACGAAGGGGGGAAAAGCCTAGGGTTATAAATCATTACACCTCGATTCTAGACCCAGTTTTTCTATTTACTGATCATTCTAGGTTCCTCGGCAGGTAATCTAGCTCCCCTCTTTTTTTCCTTGGCTTCCTCAACTTTCTAGTGTGTATCATAAAATCTACATTACATATTTGGAAAAGTCATTGTAAGAATAAAATACAGGATTTATGCAAAAATTTTGAAAAATTAAAAGTTCTGGATATAAAGGATTATTATTGTTTGGTTATAAATGTGGTAGCTATTATAAGAAATGTAACAATTGAGTTCTTTAAAACCTATTAGAGCAAAAGACATGTCAGAATTCAGAAAGAGATCTTATCCCAGTAAACTTATTCTGTTTTGTTTTAAAATAATAAATGGTATTTCAGAATCTAGAAATCTTTTAAGGGTTTTGTTTGCTTTAAATTAATGGCCCACATTATGCCCAGTTTTTAGAGTCCCTCTGGATTGTTTTTCCTTTGCCCTTTATGTCTTTATCATCACTTCTCTTTTTAAATCTCTCTCCGCATTATCCCTCTCATCCCCATTTCTCTGCCTCGGACTTAGTTCAGGCCATTCCAGATCTGTTTGCTCACCCTAACCCTAGCCTAGCCTAACCTTTCCTCCAATTCATTTTCCACACTGTAGGCAGAAGAGTCTTTTCATATGAGATCCCGTGCAGTTTCCTGCATGTCATGAAAGATCCTTCCTGAGCTGGTCTCTGCCAAATTTCCCATCATTAGCTTCTCTTCCATCAGCTCTCTGTGCCCTCTACCCAAGGGGCCTGCTGTTTCACACAGTCTGTGCCTTTGCAGGACTGTCCTCTACACGGAACGCCCTACAACCTTCTGCTCCTCTCTCCCCGTCTTACTGTAAATCATCGTGGTCATATCTCTATATAGCTCTTTTATAGTTCTAATTTTATTATTTTTCTATCTTTCTTGCTAGATTGTGGGACTCAGAAGGGCAAGAACAGCATTGTGTATTCCCTTTGTACCTGCAGGACCTGGCCTAGTACCAGCTTAGTATTACGTCAGAATAAAGTTTCTTCATACTTCCATTTGAACAAGACTTAAGAAAGAATGCTAACTATCATATAGATCAAAATTTAACAAACCCAAATGTTAAATTAATAGAGTATGCTTCTCCTAGTTTAGCAATGGCAGACTTTGTCCACTGAATAAAGATGGGAAACTTTTGAGTATAACATTTTAGATAACATCTTCAATTTTATTTAATGTAGATTGTGCTCTATATTAGCAAAGTGAAAAAAAAAGTTTATTTTTAATCACTGAAGTGCACTTATAAGCAAAAATTAAATAATAATAACAAAATTAACAGATTTTACTACTTATCTTTAGTTGGCGAATCAAACAAGTATTGGATTTTTGTTTTTTGATGCTGTACGCCCAACCCAAGGCCATGTATTATTTACAGGTATGACCTTGGTATAAATATAATTTAAAGTAGAAGTATTATGTTCTCCTTCTCTCCTTTTATTCTTTCCTTCCTCATTGTATTCCTTCACCTTACTTTGTACTCAGAAAATAGAAAATACTCACTATATTAATATATAAGTAGCTGGCCTCACAGGCAAGTTATGGCTCAAAGTAGCTGGTCAGCAAGGTGTTAAAATACCAAAAGGAAGCTTAAAACTGATTATATATTGTATATCAGTCTTCTTGCTTGGATCACTATTAACAGAAGAAATTATAGTTACCTGAAGCAAACAGAAAAGAATTTAATACCAAATTAGAAAAAAGTAGAAGTTGTTCTGCCTACATTTCTCTGCCCACAAGTTCACTGAGTTAAATAAACATAATTTGAGCACGTATTATATGTCAGTGTGTGCTTATCACTGCTGCCCTACATTGCCCCAGATTTATTAGTGTAGTTCTGCAGTGCTTATGCTGTATTTATGAAATATATTGTTTGTACCCCCAGAGTTCCTGCATATTGTTATGTTTCCCAACAGTAAGTGTATACTCATTACATGAGACACTGCAGTTATGAGGAGAGCTTGAAGAATATCATTGGAGAACAGAGAGAGTTAGAAGAAGGCCTGAAGCAATGCCTTCTCTTTTATTGGAAGAAAATAAAAACCCTTTTTGATTCCTAGTTAGTGACAATTAAATTGAAACATGACATCCAGCCTGTGTTCTCTTAGAAACAACACAGTTCTATTTTGTGCTCTGGTGATGTGCCTGAGGACTTCCACATTCTTCTGTTAAATCATTCAGGAGGCCCTCTGAGTCGGGAGGTTTTGCATAATATGTATTAAATTTAAAAAGAAAAATCTAGTCCTCCCTCCCCCCATGGAGAACTGTTTTGGGGCTTGCTTACTGGCCGTCACCCTAAGCAGCGGTTGTAGATGAGAGCTCTGCATGGCAGCAAGAGCCAGTCAGCCTTGAGCTAGAGACTGAAGTATTTGTGAGGCTAAAACCGGATTCAGATAAGTAAACTCCTCCAAAGAGGACTTAGAGTGAATGTTACAAGTTAGTATTTAGGAAAGAAATAGATAATCCCTGGTCTTGGAATCAGAAAATGAAAATTGACTAACAGTAAATACCCTCGGTGAACTGAACTAAAAACAAAAGTATTACCTCATAAAAACATTTTTCAGTGTAGTCTATTGAAAGTATTTTCAATTTTCAAGATAATATAAATTATTCGATGGAAGCATCAAAGGTACTAATGCCTTTTTGGTTTTGTTTTTTTTTCCAGCTAGAAGATGATATCATAGCTAAAAAGATGTACTTTACCAAAATCACAGATTTCGTACATAGTGTCACTCAAAATAGTTGGTTTTATATTGAGTTTTCAGTTCTTGGATTCATAGGTAAGCAATGGATCAATTTTGTGGGGTCCAGCTTTTTAGTACACGATAACCTTAAAAATTCTTAAGAACTTATCAAAGAGTTTGCTACTAAATGGAAAGGAATGACATGATTTCTACAAAGATCCAATTACTTTAACAGTAAAATCAGATTCAAGGATCTGAATTTCCAAAAACATATTTTTAAACCAAATTTGTTTCTGGATGGACAATATAAATAAGCCTATTGATATATATGCTCACGTGTTATAAAAACATAAGGTAGCTACCCCTTGTTAAATGCTTGCTGTGGGTCTGGCACCCACTCTAGCTCAGTGACTAAGATGAACTTACCTTGATTTTACATAGACAAATACTGAAACACAAAGAAAAACAGTTGTAGATAAAAGAATTTTAACTTAGGACTATTGTACTCCAAAGTTCCTGCAATTTCCCATATCCCAAAGCTGACATATTATAAAAATAATAAAAATATGTGAATTAGACCCACTACAGAGAAGTTCCTAAAATTGTGCTCACGATGGGATTTTTTTTGTTTTACAACTTTTCTATAGACCTTTCCTTTCTTCCCTCCCTCCCTCCCTCTACCCCTCCCTTCCTTCTGCGAGGGGACAAGTTGAATCACCAAGCTCTTTGTAGCACCTGCTTCCATTGTTTCAAGCAGGAGCCCTCTCATTTTATTTTTTTGTTTTATGCCCAATCCCTACTCCCACTTCCTCCCACTCCTCTAATAAATTTTCACTCTAATATGTTCAAAATATCATAAACATACATATATCCATGTACAATATTTGGTGTTGATTGTGTTTGTACCTGTTTAAAATTTACATAAGTGGTAATGTGATAAGCCTCTTCCTGTTCCTTACATTTTTGTCCTCAAAACTAGAGGTTAAAACTGTCAGCACCTTGCTTTCTGTTCATTTAGTTCATTGCTTCTTCCTGCTGCATAAGCAAGCGCTACATAACAGAAGTTAAGGAAAACGTAAATACTAAATCAGCTCTTTCCATCAGTAAATCCCTTGCTTTGGGTCCTATATAATACTTAGTTGCATTTGACTTTGTGACCCAGATAGACTCGAGTGCTAGTGCAAAACGCGCCGGCTCACATCTGCTATCACGCTTACTAAATGGTTAGCTGTATGACACTATTGACTCTAAAGGGGGTGTTTCCCTGAATCTTATACCTTCAACTTCATTTTAAAATTAAAATGCAATGCATTAGGAAAAAGTAGTTGGATATAATGAAATCATACTTTAAAATATAGCAAATTTTTAAGAATCATAAGTATAAAAGAATAATAACATTCTTATAAAACAATGCTCAAATATTAAAATACTGTCTATTGATCAAAATTAAGTACTATAAGTACAAAACCGTGGTAGACTGATAAAGTTTATAAAAGTCAGGTTACAAATCACAGTTTCTGGCCAATTAAGTAAAATTATAGCTCCTGTACTTTCAGTTTTACTTACTTAGCTTTCACTTGATTTAGACAGTTGATTTTGTTTTGTTGTTTTTTTTGTTTGTTTTTTTAAATAGATCTTTATTGATTTCAGAGAAAGGAAGGGAGAGGGAGAGAGATAGAAACGTCAATGATGAGTCCTTGGTCGGCTGCCTCCTGCACGCCCGCAGCCTGAGCTTGTGCCCTGACTGGGAATTGAACCGAGATCTCCTGGATCAAAGGTCGACACAACCACTGAGCAACACTGGCCAGGCAGACAGTTGATTCTTTAATTAGTTATCAATGTTGGTTTTCCGAGAGTATTCACCATTCTAAACCTGTTTCACACCTTTCCCTGCCCCTAAGAAGTGGCAAACCTTAATANGTCAATGATGAGTCCTTGGTCGGCTGCCTCCTGCACGCCCGCAGCCTGAGCTTGTGCCCTGACTGGGAATTGAACCGAGATCTCCTGGATCAAAGGTCGACACAACCACTGAGCAACACTGGCCAGGCAGACAGTTGATTCTTTAATTAGTTATCAATGTTGGTTTTCCGAGAGTATTCACCATTCTAAACCTGTTTCACACCTTTCCCTGCCCCTAAGAAGTGGCAAACCTTAATATTTAGGCTGATAGATTTTTTTCCTTTATTGTCCTCCAACTATATTAATGCTTAAATTTTATTTTTAAGGAATAAGATATGTTAATTTTTTTAAAATCCTCACCTGAGGGTATGCTTAGAGAGAGAAAGGGAGAGAGAAAGCAGGGGGGAGAGAGAAACATGGGTTGGTTGCCTCCCAATGTGCCAAACCAGGGACCAAACCCACAGCCTTTCGGTGTATGAGATGATGCTTCACCCTGCTGAGCCACCCAGCCAGGGCATAAGATAGGTTCATTTTAAATAATTTTTTGCTTTTCCCCCCAGGCTAATAGAATGAACTATATACAAAGGTTATATAAGTATAAATATCCAAGAGTTATTTGGATTTGTTCATTTTCTCTCCGCAGGAAAGCTGTTTAAATCGGAGGACTTAACTGACTTCATACGTTTTTTTTTAATGTTCTACAAAGACAAACCCATAGACTTGCTCTTGGGGGACATTTTTCAGGTGAAGATGTGTAACCCAGGAGAAACTCCTGTGAGTATGTCTTTACTTTGTAAATACCAAATATTTTAGAAAAATACCATCTGTCTAATAATTACCTAAAATTCATTTACCAAACCAAATCTGACTAGTGCATCAATTTTTAAATTCTAATATTATAAATTTTTACTGACAGTTCTACCTAGTAAATAAAGTAATGAGAGGCTAAAGTGGATGAGTGGAAACAAAGAGACAGTAAACGGTGAACAAACAGAAAAACCTCCATAATGCAATGATAGACAGTTGTAGACAGTGGTAGACAATACAATTGATGTAAATACACATATCAATATTTACATCAAATAAATATAAATAGCCAAGATGTACCAATTAAGAGACAGTTTATCAGAATGGATTAAAAAAACACTATGCAGTTAATTGCTGTGTATACTCAGTTCAAATATAATGCTATAGATAGGTTAAAGATGGAAACGGATATTCCACGCAGACACCAATAAAAGGAAACCTGTAGCAGCTATATTAGTATCAAAGTAGACTTCAGAGCAAAAAAAAAAATTAACCAGGGATCAAGAAAGATACTATATACTGATAAAAGGGTCAAATCACTGAGATGGTGTAACCATCCTAAAAGTGTGCATCTAACAACAGAGCTGCAAAATACATGAAGAAAAAGATGACAGAACTGGAAGGAGAGATTAGTCTACTTGTCAGTACTGAGTGGAAATGCATTTAAGTAAGCCTGCAATTTTAAAAATTATTATGTATATAAATTGGAGATGTATTTTAATGAATTTTCTATAGGTACAGTATATAAAATAATTTTCAGATAGCAATCAGAATAATTTCAAATGTTTATTTTTAATAGGAGTGATGCCACAGGTCATCTTATTTTTATTTTTAAGGAGATTTTCCAAATCATTTTTCATTAAGTATAATATCGGCTCTTTGTTTTAATCTTACACTTTTTACTGTTTAAGAAGAGATGAGACTGGTGTAATTTAGCATAGGAATGAATGAATACGGGAAGAGAGAGAGTAATGTAGACCGAGGAAAATAGGTAGATAAGAAAATGCTGAAAAGTTCATTTACATTTTGAATAAAGAGAAAGGGAGAGGAAAATTATACAGTGTCCCCCTCCCTTATTTGTGGTTTTAATTTTCACAGTTTTAGTTATCCAAGGTCAACCACAGTCTAAAAATACTAAATGGAAAATTCCAAAAATAACCAATTCATAAGTCTTAAATTGCGCGCTGTTCTGAGTAGTGTGATGAAATCTTGCACCATCCAGATCCGTCCCGCCCAGGACACGCGTCATCCCTTTGTCCAGCATCTCCACGCTGCGTCTACCTCCTTCCCATTGCTCGCGTGGGAGCCCGCTCAGTTACGAGATCAGCTGCCACAGTATTGTGTTCCAGTACCCCTTATTTTACTTGATAATGCCACATCCACGTAGCTCTTATTCCAGTATATAGTTATAATTGTTCTATTTTATTATTAGTTATTGTTGTTAATCTCTTACTGTACCTAATTTATAAATAAAACTTTATCATAGGTATGTATGTATAGGAATAAACACTATATATACAGGGTTTAGTGCTATCCGTGGTTTCAGGCACCCACTGGGGGTCTTGGAACATAGTTCATGCAGATGGGGGGAAGGGGTGGATACCTGGTACAACAGTAGCCTAGTTTTCTAGGCAGAGTTCATGAAAATACTTGCTTTAATTAAAGTCATTTTATAGCTCAACTCTTTTGTTCTATTATTCCTATGAGCAAAAAGCTAAGAATTAAATGTTTTGTTTAAATTTTAAAATACTAATATAGACCACTGGCTAAAACTAACATAATAATAAAAAATTTTGCCATTAGTAAATGCAATAAAAAGGAATATTTGGGTTTTAACCAAAGATTGTTGTTTCTCTTTTTCCCCAGGAGGAATGTGTAGAACGAAATAAGCAAATTTGTATTCGATATAAACCTTCTCTTTTCCAGCATGTGGGCATACAATCATCACATCCTGGAAGAGAACAATATTTAAAAGTAAGATTTTGAAATGTAATTTGAGAAAGAAACAATGTTTCATGTACATATAAAATATTTTTAGAAAAGAAGTGATAAGAACATGAGAGAGATGTAAAATATGGTTGTTTAGACACAATTCATCTTATGCCACACCTGTATGTTGTGAAGTCCAGTCATCTTTACAAGACCTAAGTTATCTATTGTGGTTGGAAAAACCCAGCCTACGTAAACTTCTTTGCCTCACTGTTTCCAGCTGTGCAATTCAAAGAGTAAGACTAATGCCTAGCCAGCATGGCTCAGTGGTTGAGCACTGACCCCTGAACTAGGAGGTCATGATTCGATTCCCCATCAGGGCACATGCCTGGGTTTCGGGCTTAATCCCCGGTAAGGGGCTTGCAGGAGGCAGCCGATCAATGACTCTCTCATCACTGATGTTTCTATCTCTCTCTCCCTCTTCCTTCCTCTCTCTGAAATCAATAAAATACGCGCGCACACACACACACACACACACACAAACACAAAGAATTAAGACTAATAAGTGTTTTGGAAATCATAATAAAATTAATTATTTTATTATTTTTATTGATTGAATATTCAAAATTATACAAGAATATTTCAAAAATAAAATGCCCCTATTACTGAATTCAAATGTANTACGCGCGCACACACACACACACACACACACAAACACAAAGAATTAAGACTAATAAGTGTTTTGGAAATCATAATAAAATTAATTATTTTATTATTTTTATTGATTGAATATTCAAAATTATACAAGAATATTTCAAAAATAAAATGCCCCTATTACTGAATTCAAATGTATTTTCATTCTTATTTCAGGCTGCTATTTACCAGATGAACAAAAATTCAGCAGTTTTGTTTTCAATCATTCTTAAATTTTCCTTCACTTTTGGAAACAATATTATTTACAATTGACTTGGCATCTTGGTAGAAGTAGCAAAAACTTCAGATTCAAAGCACCTCATTTTTACTTAGGATAGCCTATGTTCATGGTGTTGGCCAAGGCCTACCACTCCTCTGAGCTCTCTTCACCTATAAAACAAGGAGTTTAAATTAGATGATCCTTCAGATTTCTTGTCTTTGAAATACTGTTGACCTGTCTGCACACAGCAAAGGGAATGGTTGCTTTAATCCTCCGTCAGCTGAATTGAGAGGAAAGCACATCTGTATCCTGCCATCATTTCATCCATCATTTCTGATCTGCCCTGTCTCCACCTTTTCTTCTCTTTCTCTGTGTTTATTGTACAGCGCTCTCTGGGACAGTGCCTGGAACGTAGTGTGAACTCAGTAAAGGTCAGCTATTAGCTCTCAGGCAGGGTGGAATTCAACATAAAAAGTGTTTGTTCAACAAGACAAGTGTTTCAGATAGTGAACATTTAACTGTTATGAATCTTTAATGCAAAAAGTAACACCATCAAAAAACATGAAACAGCCACAGATGATGCAGAAAGAAATTCATCTATACCATTCTATTTGTTGGTGCTATTAAAAAGGGATATTTTTCTATTTATATATATATTTGCCAGATATGATATTTTAACCTTACCTTTATAAATTCACAGCAGATTAAGTAGAATATACATCTAATCACTCATTTTTTGATGTCATAATCTTAGCTTTTTCCTTTTTATACTCCATACCACATAAAATAGATAGGAATAAATAACAGTCTAATCATGTCAAATGTGATTATATTTAAATTATTTTTTAAATTTCTAACAGGATATGTACTATTAGGAGTTACATAATTATTACACCTTCTTTTAAAATGATCAGAATCTATGACGAGACTATATAATATTTTTAAAAAGTTAAATCTTCAATAATAAACTGGTAAGTATAAAAATTGATGTAAATATATAGAAAATTATCAGATATTGGCTAATCTTATTTTATATCCTTCTGTGTATTTTTTAGTTTTGTGCACATAACTTTCTGATACATACTATAATATTCTGTTTTAGAAGAATCAGTTTTTCTTTTTCCTTTTTTGCTGTGTACTGTAGATGTAGATGTACAATGAATTTGGAGACAATAGATCTGAGTTTGAGGTGTCATTTTATCAATAGCTATAACAATATGGATGAATCTCTAACACATTAAGCTAAGTGAAAAAAGCCAGATGCAAAAGACTTTGCATAAAATTCTAGAAAAAGCAGGTCCTAGTGTCTCATTATGATTTTAATTTGCATTTCTTTAATGACCAGTGATGTTGAGCATCTTTTCATGTGCTTGTTATAGATATACACATATATTTAAGATATACACCTAAATATAATGAAATATATATTTTAATAAAATATGTGTTTATGAAATTGTATTTGTGAACTGTATATTCAGATATTTGCCCATTTAAAAAATTGGTTTGTTTGCCTTTTTCATTTTGAATTGTAATATTCCTGTATATAGTCTGACCACAATTCTCAGCTATGGCTGCCCTTTCATTTTCTTAACAGTGTTTGCTTGTTTATTTTTATCTTTCTCTGTCATGTTACATGCTTTCTAAAATATTTAGTGATTCATGGTTGTCTGAGTTGTAATGAGCTTACAGAAAATGTTGATATTGGTCAATTTTGAGTGGTGGCAATATGGGTAAATTTTCTTCCCTTCCCCTGTCCCTCACACTGCACTTAAACTCATATTTATTAATAAAAATGTAAAGAATGAAGGAGGCTTCGTGGGAGGTTTTGGTACATGGGTAGAATTTGTTGGTTTGCAAACTATTTATGCTTTAGAATATTTGAGTGGCTAGGTTGCTGCTATTTTGTGTTTTGTGTTTGTTTGTTTCCCCAGTGGTTTGATAGAAAGGACACCAACATGCCAGGATACAGAGAAGTTTGTCCTGGGCCCAGGTGACACACTGCCTGCCCTGGTTATGTTAGATGGCTCATTCAGCTTTGGTTAGAGGGGACTAGGTATGTGTGTGTTGCCTGGGCCATAAAGTCCTGGCTGCTCAGGTGCGGGCGGTGGGTGCTCCTGACACAGACGCTCATTCCATTCTCCAGGGTTTGCCCCAGTTAGCTCCCCTCTTTCACCGAATCTGCCATCTTCCACCGAATCGGCATGTCCATTGGAGCCCCGTCCATGTGTCTAGGTGCAGATTTCTCTTCCCGTCTCTGTCAGGCCTTCTTCTTCCATTAGATTTCTCTCTCTCATAAATCTGATGAAACGTCTCCTAGGCTGAGAGCCCCCCTGTATTCATTACGCTGTTTGGAGTTTCACCTTTGCTATGCATTTACTGTCATTTCAATGAGGCCTGGCCACCCACGACCTTGAACCAAGAGTTTGGATATTTCAGTTTTTAAAACTTTTCATCTATTTATGTAAACTAAGATTTGCTTACATGGCCCAGGAGAGATCAAGGCCTTTTTTTCCCCTTATGCAGAACCATCACTTTTATTGCTATGTTTTCCTTAATACTCATTTCTTTCAGTCTTTTTAAAAAACTTTTATGTAAAATGTATTTCCTAGCCAGTTAGATTATGCGACACTTCTCGTAAAACTTCCTTTTAAATGTAAGATAGTCTATTAAGCAGGAAAAAAATTAGCTTATTTCTATTCGTCTACCTTGTAGTTCAAATATAATTTAATAAAACAAAATTCACCTTCGTGGTCATTTTTTTGTTTCTGAAATTTTAAAATTTTGCCTATTTTCAATTTAAATGTTCTTTATCATTTTATGTTCTATGTCTATAAATAAACTTTCAAAAATTTCTTTTAGAAACAACTAAAATATTTCAGTATTAATAATTTCTGAAAACTCAAATAAAATATAATAAAATTCCAAAATATAATAAAATTCCATTAGCTGATAAGCAGTGGAATCTGTATAATTTGCCTGTGCTTCCTCATACATGAAAAGTCATTTTCCTTTTACTGCAGTGCACTGGGCATAGGGCAGAGTATTTGAATGTGTTGGAGGTAGGGGTGCCACATAAAATAACGGGCTTTCAGTTAATTTTGAATTTCAGTTAAGTCATGACTTCTGTGCCTGTGACACATTTGTTTTGTTGTTGTTGCTCAATGTGATAAGCATAGTTGGAGGTGATGGAGGGAGCAGGAGTAGAAGGTTACTTCCCATCAAAGTGCTTTAACTGAATTAGCTAAGTTTTTCCCCTTGACTTGTATTAAAGAATGATCTATAGAATGTTTGCATTTTCTTCAAAACTGTTAAAAGTTTTTATGTGTCTCTCTTATGTAAAGTTACATATGACAATTTTCTCCTAGACTCTGGAGTTAGAAAAAAGATATTCTTTGCCAGAGAATTATCAGGATTCCTTTTGCCTGTAGTGATTTTGTTTTTTCCCTTTGATGAACATAAAATTCAAAACTAATTTTATATGCAGTGTGGTACCTATATTAAGTTATATTTGCAGCATAATTTCTCCAGTCCTCACTTTATATTTAGTCCCTAATTTTCTTTCCTATATTACTGTTAAAAGTTTATTGCATTTTCATGTTGTTACCCTAAATCTTTTCTTTATATTTTAAATTATAAAAATAAAATGGGAGTTTAAAGTATTTGTATCTTATTTACAGCAGTTTGTTGGCTATAATGACAATCCAACAATACAGATTTCCCAGTGATGAAAATCTGCTTTCAATAATTTTAACACCATGACGATATTAAAACTGACATTGTCTCATACATCTTAAGAATTATATCTTTTGCCAATATAAAGTTATCTTCTCTATTTAACAAGTGGAGATGGTGTCAAAAGGACAGAATAATGAAAGGATATTATCAAGTAATTGTCATAAAATAATTACATCCTTGTGAATTAATATTTTATTTCTAGATGTTAGTTTTATAATTTGTTTAATTTTAAATTTTTTAAAATTACAGTTTACATTCAATATTATTTTGTATTAGTTTCAGGTGTACAACATAATGGTTAGACAATCATATACTTTACAAAGTGTCCCCCCGATATTTCCAGTACCCACCTGGCACTGTACATATTATGATGATGTTATTGACTGTATTTCCAATGCTGTACTTTACATCCCCATGACTGTTCTGTAACTACCAATCTGCACTTCTCAGTCCCTTTACCTTTTTCACTCAGTCCCCCAACGCCCCTCCCCTCTGGCAACCATCAGTCTGTTCTCTGTATCTGTGAGTGTGTTTCTGTTTTGTTTGTTCATTTAGATTGTTCTTTAGATGCCACAAGTACTGTAGGTGAAATCGTATGTCTTTGTCTCTCTCTGACTGACTTATTTCTCTCTAGGTACATTCATGCTGTCACAAAGGGCTCAGTGTAGTTCTTTTTTAAAATTTATCTTTATTTTTGAAAATATTACAGATGTCCCCTTTTAAGGTGGTGTTCTTGTTTATGGCCGAATAAACCCCATTGTATATATGTACCACAGCTTCACAGCTTTTTTTAATCCACTTGTCTGTTGATGGGCACTTGGATTGCTTCTATTTGAAAGAATATATGCACACCTATGTTCACTGCAGTGTTATTTACAGATTTATGATTCTTATTTCAGGAAATACCAAGCTAATAACCATAACAAGAAGAAACTCTGTAATACCTTGGAACCTCAGAAACCCTGCTTTCTAACGGCATCTTTCAGACATTGTAATAATGAAAGTATATAGAAAAAACGGCGAACAAACTAGTGAACTTGAAAGTATTAAATTAGAAAATTAGGACATTTTATGTCAAGAAAAATTAGGACATTTTATTTATGATGTTTGTACCCTTACTATTATAATGTAATATAAAAATAGCAAAGACAAAGGAGCTTTTAAATATTGAGAAATGTATTTTGTTGACTTCGATAGTGATGCTATATATAACCTGAACAACAGCTAAAAGTTCAGAAACTTGACATTGTCATGGACAGGTTCTGTGTGAAGTGGTGTGTATCTTATCCATTTTGTTAAGACATCTGAAGAAACAGAGAGCACAAGTTGAAGCAAGCCAGGGTCTCACAGTACCATAATATCTTCTTGTCTTTTAAGTAAGTGCATTTAAAACTATAAACTTACCCCTAAATGCCATTTGATCTGACTACCAAACATCTTGATGTATGTGTATATTCTGGCTGTCATTCAGTTCTAAAGAGTTCATATTTTCTGTTATTATTGCCTTTTTAACTCATGGATTATCTGGGAATGTGCATGGGTTTTTAAAAATATACTGGTTTTGCCATCTTTTACTGTTGATTATTTAATTACATTGTTGTTAGAGAACTTTGTGTAATAAAATTTAATAACTTATGAATTCTTATGTTTCATGCAAATTTGAAAAGAATGTATAGTCTCTATATGCATTTTAAAATATATTGCATTCATTTGTTTTTATGCATTTATACATAATGTTTTTACTCATGTTAGTATTGTGCTTTAAAAATGTTTTCTTAAAATATTCCTATTTATTGGGTACAGGGCTATCTTATATCAGGCTTTAAAACTTACTTGTTCAAGTCTTTTAAGTCCTTACCAATTTTTTCTTCCTGATCCATCCATCAGTTTCTTATAGGAGTCTATTAAGATCTGTTGTTCTTCCTGTTATTCTATTGAGTTTTAGTTTATTTGGAGAAACAATGAGAAATTTCCTCTTTTTTATCCTTTGTCAAGTATAAAAATCTTAATTCATGCTGCTCTTTTATCCTTGAGTGCCAAAATTTCATGCATCACCTCAGAATGAAGTGTATTACATGCCAGTGGATGAATGTATCATCCACTCCTTTCACAGGAAAAGAAGCTGTATCTCAAAG